TGGAACCATTAAGGCCCTTATTCAAAACCCCACAAAAGTAGTAAATAAATAAAACCAGAGTTTAAATAAATTCAAACTTATGAAAAGAAATAAACTGCGAATAATAACCAACTCTCCATTCAAAATCCCACAACCATGATGCGAATGCTGCATATGTAAGAACCCGTGGTTAATCTGCTCCCCAATATTACAAGTGTAAAAATTGGATCGTCACAGGGTTATTGAAAGGTGAAGGCCATGACCAAAGAAAGACACACACAAAAGCACGCAATCAGCAAAGCTGAGTACATACAAGCTGCAAAACATAAAAGAAATCCCTAACATGCTACTAATAATCAACCATTACGCATCATTAGTTTATAGACTCGGCACATGACTCAACCATCAAATTTATTAAGACTTCACTAGTTAATATTAACTAACTTTTTTCTTTATTTCATTGGATTCAGCAATAGACAAGGTTGTCCAACCCATGTCCCATTTGGAACATCAATAAAAGAAAAACCTCATGCCTCCTTTCGGAAACATCAATAAACATCCAATGACCACGGGCGCGACTCCGTGACCGTAGTTAGTATGAGATCTCACCTAACTCCTAGTTTTGAATAATATTTGAAATAAGAGACACGTAGATCAGACGACCTCGAGAAAAGTACACGGCTAATACCCCGTGTACCCCAACCCCTGATTGTCATTACTCCAGAAGTGCACCAATCCAGAGTTTTATTGCTCATCCATCTTGCACTTTACGTGATTTACAGGTTTAGACTTGGTGATGACTCATATGCAAACAATACTATCAATCCAATATCAATTCAATCAAGTAAAACAACTTTCCAATTTCAATTCTTGATTTATTAGTGACAAACAACATTTATTATTTATTCCTTTACTACCTCGGTGTATAAACACCTTGAGTGCTTAAGGCACCCCAAAACTTTAACCTTGTCTTATAAGACTTGAATTCTTCCGTTACTCATCATATTTCAATAATCATGAATGAGTAATAAATAAATCATTCCACAAATCACATACCTTTGCCTCTAACCGCACCTTGCATAATTAGAGCACAAACAATTCTTGCAATATAAAATAGTGCACATCATATATATGAAATTCACAATGTATAACCAAACAATCTAACTCAGACATCCCTATACATGATACTAAGTTCTCGATCCGTCCTTAAACATGCACCTACAAGAAAGGTTTCGTAACCTGTACGTACCTTGAGTAAACAAATTGGTATGCCACTTTACTATCTAGAAATCACCTTCAATAAACTCCTCTCCTAAACCAAATAATAACATCTCAATCAATACCCAATCAATCAAATTTAAAGCAATACTAACTTACTTTAAAACCTTCAAAATCCAAATCAAACAACACTTTAAAACCTTCCCTTTAGTTAAAATTAAAGGCTTATATATAGTTCTTTAAATTTTCTTCATAAAAACCTTAAAATACACTCTTATACATGAAATTACAGCAAGTTTAAAGTTTAATAAAAATCTTAAAATTATTTTAAAACTCCTAAAAATCTCCCTTTTTAATGGGTGATTAAACCCTCTTTATAAAACATCAAAAGTAGTAGTACTTAAAAACTATTTCCAACACTTAAAACTTCAATAAAAACATATATTTATGCTTAATTAACTTTAAACATAATTAATTTTATTAATCAAACTCAAGGATAATATTTTAAGTATAAAAAAACTTCGTGAAAATCAAAAACTGCCCGAAAATCATATTTAGAGACTGAATTTGGCCACGATAGGGAGGTGCTCACTACCAAAGGTCCCGAGTCTTTCTTAAAATGTTGTTTCCACATGAAAAACACTACTTTTTTGTCAAAATCGGATGATTTCAGAACCTGACCGGGATTTAAACGGGATTAATATTAACGAATAAAATTCTAAAAATTAAAACACAAATTTAGATGTTCAAAATAATCTGGAATTAAGTTAAACTAATCATTAGTTATAATCACCAAAATTTCAAAACATCATTACTATAAAAGCCCTAAATCAATTGTTCATAAAAACCCTAAAATCATGATTTTCAATAAATTGAAACCCTAGGTTTATAATTCATAAAATATGATATTTATAACATAAATATAATCTGAAATTTATAATCTTTATACCATTAAAATATAATTTGATACTAAAAATATAATCTTTATACTAAAATCAAAACCCAAAACAATTAAATTAACATTAAACAAAATAATGAAACAAAGGAGGATGAAAATAAGATTAACCTTTTTGTGTGGGAAATTTTTGGAGATTCATGGGGTATTTATAGGAGAGAATTATTGTAGGGTAAAAAGAAAGATTGGGCCTCATAAAAATAATGGGTTGATTAAGTAAACAAATGGGTTAGGCTTGTGTGATTGGACATAAATTGTAGAATAAAAGTGCATAAAATAATTTGTTCAAATAATTTTTGACCCAGATTAATAATTTGAAACTTTTGAAATTAAATTATGAAAAATAACAAATAAATATTATAAATAAAATAAATTTTCATTTATAAAATATATAAAAATACGGGGGATTACATTAGGTGAGTTTTCCTCCAGCAGTCCCAAACCGGTGAACAAAAGTCAATAACTAGTTATTGTAGGTTGTTTGACACATGTCAGCGTATGAGTGGTTCCAAAATAAAAAATTAAAATAAAAAAAAAAACTAAAAGAAATTCTGGCAACCACCATGCCAGCCATAACCACCACCTCCACCTCCTGCCACAACTCTAAAACACCACCTTCACCAGCCACCCAAGTCAGAAACAACTCCCACGACCAGCCGCATCCCTGAAACCGGCCAAATCACCTAACCCTTGCCCGAGAAACCACCAGCAGCCCCAAATCGCACCAAAAGGCACCAAAATCGCAGCCCTAAATCGCACCCAAATCGTCAGCGTGGGTGTTCGTGAGAATCTGGTGGGTATTCGTGGGTGTTCGTGAGAATTCGGTGGTTGTTCGTCAGCGGAGGAGAGAGAAAGAGGCGTTACATGCCGTGCGGGAGGATTGGAGTAATTGGCATCGCTGGCCGTGCGGGAGGAGCAATAGGGGTTGGGGTGGATCGTGGTTGGTGCTGTTGGGGATTGGGAGGGCCCGTCGGCTGTTTTCCGGTGGTCTGCAGGTTCGTCGACCATTTTCCGGTGGTCTGGAGGTTTGGCTAAGGGTTGGTGGCGGTTTCCGGTGGGCTAGGGGTGGTTGGGATGGTTTTTTTTTTTTGTTTTTTTTTTTTCCTTTTTTTTAATTGTAATATTAGGCCACTCATGTACTGACATGTGTCATTTAAGAAACAAAAAAAAAAAGTTTACCCTTTCAGCAGGTAACCGGTTTTGGGGACTGCTGGAGGAAAACTCACCTAATAGTTGGGATTACTGTATAATAAACCATAGTTGAAATTATTGTAGGTAAATCGCCCATAATTGGGATTATTAAAGTGTATTTTTCCTAAAATTTATAATTAGTCGTTTTGGTAAAGTATTTGATTATGTTTTAAATTTATTTTAGATATCTAATATGTTATACAATTGAAATTAAGGACCTAACTAATATATTAAAAGACATTTATAAAAACGTTCATGTGCCACGTATATTTTTTTTAAAAATATGTCATGTTATAAAAACGGAAAAGAAATATACATAAGTGTAAACCACATTATTTAATTATTAAAAAAAAACACACATTCAATTATATCAATTTCAGATTTTAATATCCAAACCACAAAAAAAAAAAAAAAAAAAACCCACAATTGCACAACTTCAAAAGTAGTAACCCGGGACAACGTCTGGGCTACTAACTTGTTAATAGTATAAAATCTCTTAAGACAATGAGTAAAAATGTAAAATGATCGTTAAAAAATCGGATAATAATCGTTTTTGCAAGAGCAACTCAATCTAGTGTTGGCCTTGAGCAATAAAGAATAAAATGTTGACAATTTCTTTTTGTTCACGCCCTAGTAACCTTATTAATTTTATTCTTCTACTGATCACGTTTTATAGATAGATTGATTTTAGGCTACAAGTATAACAATGGTAGTATACAACGTTTTGTAGCTTGGAATCCTTGGATGAACCAAAAAAAACAGAAAAAAAAAAAAAAGAAAAGAAAAAAAAAAAGGTTTTCCATTGTAATTTAATGATTTTGTTTTCAAGCAACCTTGCTTATTTGAGCAACATACACTTCTTGGAAATAGGTTGCTTCGTTTTCCTCTCCAATGATAGAGCTACATCTGCTTAATTTACAAAATTGCAATAATATTAACCACTGTAAATGTTCAATAGCAATTCCAAATTGGTTAGCTGCTACAAAATGTTGTAGGTTACCTTGAGCAATTGAAGATATAATATAATCAAGCTATAAGTTGCAACGATATATAGTTAGCTACTTAACTACAATACGATGTAACTTGCCATGACAATTGACAAATAAAACCTGCTCGAAATTAATTTTTTCAAGTTGAATTTGAGCTTTGATCTCAAAATGCATTTTTTTTTACTGTCTAAACCCTCATATTCTCATGAGTGGGTCAAACAAGACTATTGGGCTAGACTACAGATGATCATCTTGAAATGAAACACTCTGTTTTTAACTTATAATTGGAGATGCTGAAGAACAATGTCAGAATTTTGTGTCACTTATAAAAACAATATTTTAATTGTAGTACTATATGAATTTATAACCCAAAGTGAGATACTTCAATCCTATTAGCTAAATGTGGACACGTCAGACACTCAGACCTTCAACACAACCCCTAAAGAGTTCCTGCAAACAACTTCCACGCCAACCAAATAAAAAAGAATCTCAGGCTGATAAGGGGAAGACAGGAACAAAGTTTTAACCAAACAATCTCCATATTCATCAGGTGAATCCATTTCATGCCAATGAAATTTCCCAAAGCTCTTTTTACAGTATTTGATGTGTGATAAGAACCCAAACAGATAACCAACACAGAACCGAGAAGAAACAGTAATAATGGAAGATTATAGAAGAAAAGATAAGGATATGAATGTATTAAAGAGAGGAAGTCACTCAGTAATACAAGCTATGCCCCAATTCAAGAAGGGAAATGTCCAATTGTGCAAGCATAAGCAACTTTTCTGAATGAAATCGACTGCCACAGTGTACTCCCTATTTGTTAAGAAAACTCTTAGATTCTCTAACAGACTAACACACGCAGCAAGCAAGTAACAACTGCAAAATAACAAACTTTGATTAATAACAAACTCTGGCTAAAAGACTCAAGTAGCTTCCTCCTCGAGTAAGTGAATAATATTGGCAGATTGCCACCTTGATTCATAGCAATGTGTCAGTGGACAGGAGCCAGGTCAAGTAAAGCCAGCAACTCATTATCTGAAACACTTCCAATCTGCAAAAATGAAGCAAAACAGTCAATTTAGTTTAAGCACAATACTCGACAGGAAAAAGTGTCAAGATACTCAGAAGTTCATATGTCAATGTCATGGTGATCTTGCTGCCAGCAAACTAAACTGGACAAGCATCATCTCAGCATATCGCATCGAACCATTGGACTTGGAAACAATGAACACCAAATCAACCTTATCAAAAAGCAGCCTGATAAAATAAAAAAATCGTACCTCAAAAAAAAAAGGGGGGGGGGGAAGAAGATCAAAAGTTTACCAAGCAATTATAGATTTATAGGTAACAAATTTCCAACCACCCCATGAAAAAATAGATGCTGCAAAATAGATTAAAACAGATCAATACTCCATCAATTGAGCAACAAAAGCATAAAAAAATGAAAAGATCAAACAAATTACTATGAAAAATAGGTTTAATAAGATGAGAGACATCCAATCACAGTTGTAATCAAATTTGATGAGTAGCCATAGCATGGGGACATCCAATCAGGCTCATTTAAGGGAAATTAAGGCAAACTTTAGGTTGATCTAAGCAACAAAAATGTAAGGTAATTCAAAAAATTAGCATGATTTAAAAAAGAAACACAAACAACCAGCACCTATCTAGCATTCTCCTGTATGTTTTCCAACTTCATTAATTCTGAATAGATCGACCAACTTGTTGCTATTCTTCTTCCTCATCATTATATTTCCAGTAAAAGAAAGGCATGCCTTCTTCCTCAATTCTCAGAAAATCAAATTTCCTACACCTACAACCAACCAAGCAACACTTCACTTCCACAACTCCCAGTAAGCCTAATTTCCCATGGAAATAACTTCGACTCCTAAGCAAACACCTTTGTTTTCCTACATCATAGGTAAATACTTGGTCAGTTGGTCCAAAGCCCAAACAAATAATAAATATAATCTATAAATTTATTACCCAATAGTGTGGGCTTTCCATAGTAGATGCAATGAAAGTTTTAATGCTGCCAAAACTTTGGAGTTAATAGTTTGCAAATGGGGTCATGTAATGAGCATATTTCTGCACAAAATTAATAATGAAAAATCAAGTTTTTAGGGACCTATTTCCACACAAGTTTAACATCCTGCATTTCACCTCAAATGTTTCAAAGGCCAAAAGTAAAGATAGGTGTAGCAATACCTTACATATATCGCCTGCATGAACTAGGTCTCTTCAAGGGGATGATAAGTTACAATTACCAAAGCCATGAAATTGTACCTTACATGCTTATGTTCTATGCTATGTCTATCTGTAGCAGATATAAAAGACAAATAAAATGAAATCACCTCTTGCCAAAGAATGGTTTCATTAATTCCCTTTCCACCATGCTATCCTCATCACATCTCAACTACTGACAGTCTGTTGAAAAGCCATACTAGTCATCTCTTCATAAACTGTACAACACATGACGAAATCTTCATGAAGGTCACCCTGCCCATAAGCAATGTCCAAGCATTCAAATTTCAGTTTAAGAATAGAATTTCAAAATCATCTTGTGGCACACATTGATCTACAGTGCACCTATTGCTTTTCTCTTATCATCTAAACTGTGATACTCGCTCAAGCCCCCCCCCCCCAAATGACAGTCCTTTCCTAATGACAACTTTGCTTATTTTCCTGTCAACACTTTATGACCCGGATACAATGTAATGCAGAGACTTTAGAAAGCCGAAAACTTTATGATCGGAGAAAGGGAAGGGGCGTGGTTGGTGTGTCACTAGATCGGCAAGGGAACCCGTAGGAAGGCGAGTTACGTGAGGCCGAAATCACATCAGAAATCGCATTATTTCAATGTATCCTCATGAAGCATACTAATCTAATAGTCAGTTGCGCGCACAGAGGGCACATGTTGATCTCCCTACAGTTCTATTTGGCCAAGTTCAGAACTCTAATAAACCTCAATCTCTTATTAGACCCAACCAATAGTTTAGACCTCTTAGGATCCAAGACCAATGGTTTTGTTTTTTTTTTTTTTGGGAAAGCAGTTTTTACAATCGCAACCCCCTGCCTTCCTCAAATGTCAAAAGTTAATAGCAAACATAGGGAGCAACACTTCGGCAGGATAAGAGCATGGACACATGATTAGATATGTCAACTGGAAACTAAAGTTACATGTCTACAGACACCATCAAAAGGGTTACGACACATAAGTGGACCTGCATACCCAAAAAAAACTACACTCCAAATCAAGTCCAAAACTGACAACCACTTAAGTTAGTTCCAGAACGAAACAGAGACTAGACATCCCTTATAAGCATTCTTAAACCATAAAAAATGATCAAATACCCCAGATTATCATCATGTCATTTTTCCTAGTGCACAAAAGAGCATAGTTACACTTATACAAACCATTTAAGACATGCCACTGCTGCCTATGAAACCATTCCCAATGTGCAATCGATTGATTCTTTATAATTTATAGCTTGGCGAATGACAGCTATTAAACTAAATGGCTTAACAGCACTGATCCTGCAATGGCAATGGAAGAGAGCCAACCAACTACAATACATTATGTCCACCGAGGAATTAACTATCATGGATCAGCAAAATTTAATTCCCAAGACAGTTGAATACTGTGGACAGTGACAGTGAACCAGTCAAATGAAGCAACCTTACCATTGTGTATAAGTATTCCGCACCTAAAGAACTTTTTCTACCTTCTTCACTTGCACTCCTTTTGTAAGTTACTATCTTGCAAATCTGCAATCACAAAACTATACTTTCTTAGTGACTTTGAAGCAATGTTAATTACAGGTATAAATCATGTAAACTATTTTGCATACCATGTCATCGAACTCAGGCCTAGGTATAAGCTTTTTCTAGTAAAACCACAACCATCAATAACCAATTGCTCCACTGGATTTATAAATGTTACATGACATGGTTTGAACACTTTCTTACCACCATTGGTTCATCTTCCATCTATTCATCATCTCTATAGGAACTCTGCCTTTTCCTATTTATTTAATAGCCAGCATCATTACAAACAACATTGGTAACTTCTTCGCCATCGTCACAAGGTGAGTGAATGTTGCATATTGAGAACTTTTTAGCCACATAACCAGTCCTCATTGAAATTTTCCCATCAAATTTTCCTAATTGAGCATCATCCATATAAAAAAATGCAATAATTCAGTTATATAATACTAGTCTTATTAACTAATTTCATGCAAAATTTAAGCCTCATTGATGTTCAAAAGCATGAATTCAACTTCACATATACACTGAATTGTGTAATAAGTAAGCTCGTTCATTGTCTAAATGAAAGGCAGAATAAGCCAACCGAAATTAGTTAAGTTCTAATACTACTGACCACAACTAACTCCTAAAGTTTGACAATTACATATTACTCCCAAACACACATCAAGTCCATTACAAAAAGGATTAGAATAGATGAAAATTGTCAAATTCTTTCCAAATCTAGTTTGCTAAACCGCCTTTATTTCTTGTTCTCCCTTGGTCCCTTTCATTTATCTCATTCCTTGAGCATCCCTAACGATTGAACATTGCTTTTAGCATCAAACTGAATCTGATCTTGTAATTTTGCAAAAGCAATCATATGTATAGGAAAAACATATTGATACATATGTTGCACTTCTTTAAGTGGACATCGTACCTATATTATAAAAGAAAAAATTATATTTTATCCTTACAAATCTATAACTAAATAGACTTAATATTGATAACAATAATTAATTGAAAAGTAAAATAGACTTAAAATTCACTTACATTTGTAACTTGAAAGGCGTGTCAATATATATCTCTTAGACGAGTTAATCCTTGCTCTAATATCAAATGCCCTAATCTTAATTGAGGAGTTGCTGCAATCATACGAGGAGTTGCTCCCAATATATTTGAACGCCGCCAACTAGGATATGTAGTTCGAAGTCCTAGAATATATTTGTCAGATTTATTCAAAAAGTCATCGTCAGCCTCCTTTTGCGCATGTTTCAGGATTGCGTTTTTTGTATTACTAATAACATCTCGAAAATTTCTAGTTGTCGGCCTTGACATCTTGTAATTTTCAGAATCTGCAAATGCATCTTCAGCATCAGGATATATTACACATCGACCACTCTCCAAAGAATCATATAATTCAATAATATACTCGATTCTCATTCTATCATTCCAAAAAATTCACATTTTTGAAAATCATATTAAAGTCTCTGTAAACAAACAAAAAGATCAATTAAATCAACTAAACTTAGAATCAAAATCAAATGTATATAAATGTCATTCAACAGTAAACTTTTCATATATATATTTTTTTAAATGAATAGACAATAATGAACTTCCGTTTTAAACCGATCATGGCATAATGGTCATTATCTAATAATAAAATTTTACAAAAATTAAGTGTATACTTTAATTTACATACGTAGCATATATTATATTATCATTTAACATACAACATAAATAAGGAAATATAAATATAAATAAATAAAAATATGATTAACTCGTTTTACTCACCCAAGTATATCATTATGGCAAGTTGTAATCAACCAATCACCAAAGGCCTTCAGTTCCGAATATATGGTAACTGAACCCCTTGCCTTATATTGTCCTATGCTTTTGAAAAACTTGGATAACTCAGTTGCTTCAAACATCCAATCATGATGCGCTTCTAAAAAAACAAAATAAAAATGAATGGAAAAAAAAAATCAATCAATCTTATATTATATTATTAAATCTAAAAGAAATAAAGATGTACTAATATATACCTCTTTTTTCATAATTAGTAAAAACAACTTTATTGCCTTCACCCATGTACATATGCTGAGAATCCAATATGGGTCTAAAAGCTTTGTCTTTAAATGTTACAACATTCTTGACAATACTTAACATAACTTTTTTAAAACCCATACTAGCATACAAACGCACATTATTGAAGGATTTGTCCTCCAACGTGAAGTCTTTGCGAACCTTCAGGATTGGAAAAAACCAATTCGCATCAAATTCTGAGATTGGTTTGCCATCAACTACCTTAACCATTACTATATTTGGGTTGTTAGAACCCTCAAAAGTAAATGGAAAAAGAATAGTAGGAAACCACTCATTGCTCTCCATTTCTCTCAAACAATGATGGAGAGACTCCATTGATTCCAATTCAGTTAACCTTATTTGCTTGTATTGCAGTACATTATCACCACAACTAATGGAAATTCTATCTTCGACGACTTGTGCTCTGTAATCATCGGGAAAATCCATAACCTAAATAGTGCATACAACTTTATTACTATTTCCAATTAATACATTTTAAATCAAGAAAAAACAGTGATAGATTAATAAAACTAATGAAAGATTATAAAGGAGGATTGACGTGAATGTACAAATTCAAACTAAACACAAGCTGGTAATACAGAATTAATACATAAGACAAAAGATAAAATCGCAAAATTCAGTAGACATATCATATCCATGATTTCAAGAACACAAATGAAAGAGGAAAGTATTACTATTGCAGAAAAATCCGAACTGCTGAAACCATGAAAAATTCTTAGACAATAAAGTTTGAATACATAAGGGAAAATTTATATTGTCTAACTTTATTGTATTCAAACTTTATTGTCTAACTTGAGAATTTTTCATTATTTCGGCACTTTATTGTCTAACTGCTGAAACCATTAAAATTCTCAAATTAGATGCTTTTTCTAATAATTATTTTGGGTGTGTAAAAGTTTCATACACCTATTCTTTCTATCTAGTCATCACTATCAAACTTACCTTAGATATTCCTTTACCATGAAAATACTTATATAACTAATAAAACCCTTTTCAACAATGTGTCAATTGACTTAATTGACTTCAATTACTCGCGGCAATCTTTAAACTTTACATTCCCTACACGGCATCAATTTTTCCTTAGCTTTAAGGGAAGTTCCTTAGCAAACTCAACAAATTTCATGCATATGAAATATCGGGTAGTGCAATCCAACCTGTATAAGCTTAATAGTTATCAGAATCCATGAATAAAATACATGCAAAGGAAAATGCATGATAAAGAAGAACTGATGAACAAATTAAACTTAGCACTAGCTGGTTACACAATTATTAAAGAATATGAAATTACAAAAGTTCAAAAGATATATCTTATATATGCTTCTAAGAACAGATGTGAAAGACGAATTTCTTACCGAGAAAGAGAAAGTGAAGAATAACAGATGAATTAAGTAAGAGACTCCAACAACGATCAATAGTTCTCTAAAATAAGAGAAAGACTATAATTAACCAATCTCAAGCAAAAAAATCAACTAACCATTTTACATTTCATACGTGAAAATGATGGCATCGATCGTCACTTAGCTTCAAGGGAGGTTCCTTAGATGCTTTTGTAATTATTTTGGTTCTGTAAAAATCCATACACCTAGGGGTCGTTTGGTTGAAAAGGGAAATAATTTCCCATGGGATTTGACAAATTATGGGAATTAACTTCCCACATTAGAAATCCCATGAATTGTTGAAAGTTGTTTGTTATTCATGGAGGAATTTGCAAATCATGGAAATTTCAAGTTACCAAGGGGGCACTTGGTAATTTAATTCCCATGTTTTGTGGGAATTGAAAATTCCCATGAATTTGAAATTCCCACATTTTTATGTTTTGTGGTCAACCAAACAAAACCCCAATATTTAAATTCCCAAGATTTTCTATTTCCCCCATTTCTTTTATGCAACCAAACAACACCCTAATCTTCCTAAATTAATAGTACCATGCATTGTCTTTTTTCCATCTCCTTTGAATTCCTCAAAGTGTACAAAAAATCCTTGACTATTAAACCAACCAGAGTATCAAACATACACTCAAGCTATCCTATAACATGAAAATATATGATCTTATACAACTAATAAAACCCTTTAAACAATATGTGTCTTTTAACTTTATTTACTCTTTACCAACTAACCATTTTACATTTCATACATGGCATTGATCGTCACTGACATTCAAGGGAGGTTCCTTAGAATACTCAATAAATTTCATGCATATGAAATATCAGGTAGTGCAATTCGACTTGTATATGAGGGTTAATTACCAGGAAAATACATGCAAAGGAAATACCATGATAACGAAGAATTGATGAACAAATTTCAACTAAACACAAGTTCGTATTATTATATAACCCAGAAAAAAAAATATGAAACCGCAAAAGTTGAGAAGACATATGTTATATATGTTTTTATTATGAACAAATGTGAAAGAGGAATTTCTTACCTAAAGTGAAGAAGTATTTGATGAATTAAGTAAGAGATTCCAGGAGCAATCGGGCAGAAGAGAGTTCAGCATCAATAGTTCTCTAAAACAAGAGAGTCTATAATTAGACAATCCGAGACAAAAAAGTTTGAATAGAGAGGAAGGGGAAATGACTAATTTAATTCCTTGAACAATGTGTTGGGCTTAATACATGTATCGTGCGGAACCTTAAGTTAGAATCATCAAGAAAGCTATGAGTAAATTGTCATAAAGCTAGCATATAACAAGCTTTTACAAGATGTGTATTATATATGATGACTACAATAAGAAGCTCTAGTAAAATGTATAACAAATAAGACTATTAGTTACAAACTAAGTGCTTAAACGGTGCCTCCATTTTCTGAGTATAGAACTAGAATGACATTGAAAACTCAACAGCGAAGGTTCTGAGCAAGTTGGTCGACCGCATAGGGTCCTTAAGTGAAACTACTATAAAAGGGCCTTGGTTTTTTAATTTAGTAACATACTTTTCCTCAAAGTATTGACTTTAGGTCTCAATTTAACAAAATTGCACCGGACCACTTTACTTTAAGTGTTAGCATTCGTAGCCTTGCCTCTAAAACTCAGTTTTATTCTATATAAGAAAAATAAAGTACATGCTTTCACATTTGAAGCAACAAGAACAACTACATGCTTTTGTAAATGTTTTGGTTGTGTAAAAACTCCAAACACACATTCTTTCTAAGTTTTCTTTTTTTGGTTCGACATTCTTTCTAGGTTAATAGTACAATGCACTCTCTTTTTTCCATCTCCTTTGAATTCCTCAAAATATACGAAAAACCTTTGACTAATATACGAGTCACCATTATCAAACATACACTTAAACCCCCTAACATGAAAATACCAGATCTTCAATGACAAATAACACTCTTAAAACAATGTGTCTTTTGACTTCATTTACTTGCAACCAACCACTTCACATTTCTTACATGGCATCAATCTTCCCTTAGATTCAATGTAGGTTCTTTTGAAAACTCAAAAAATTTCATACATACGACATATCGAGGTAGTACAATTCAACTTGTATATGCTTGATAATAATTATGAAAATCCATGACCATAATACATGCAAAGGTATTAATAGCATGATAAAGAAGAATTGATGAACAAATTTAAACTAAACACAAGTTGGTATTACTGAATTAAGAAAGAATATGAAATATCTGAAGCTGAGAAGATATATCCTATATATATACTAGTAAAAAAAATGTTATTTGTAACGGGCAAAATTCACTTTTTGCAACTGGCATTGATGGTTTCGAATGCCACCGTTACAATTAGTGAAAATTATTCGTAACCGACTAATGTTAGTTACAATTAATGTACTATTCCTAACTGGCTTAACTTAACGCCAATTACAAATAATCTATTTTCAAATTAGAAAGCATATTATTCGTAACTAGCAAATCTTAATGCCAGTTACGAATAACATTTTTTCATATTTTTTAAAAAAAATGGCAGTAGTAGCATATGTCCCTACTGCCACCACCCACGCTACACTTTTATTTTTTTGGAAGCACCATAAATTATTAACCCAACTTTTATAATAAATACAATGAATATTAATCTAAACCACGTAAGGCCCAACTTAATCGACATTACATCATCAATTATACAATATAGAACATGATGTGCTTGTAAATTACAAATATGTCACCAACTCTCAACTACAAAAGACATGTATGTCATCCAAAAAGAACAGAGTGATAAGAGATGATTTGAACTAAACAGAATAGAGCATTATTGTAATTTCTAAAACAGAACAATATGAGAACTTCTTGTAGAAATCATCCTCTCTTAAGTCGTTCATCCTTTTAAAAGTGCTTGTACAATAAGCTTACAATAATAAAGTGAAGAAGTGATTGATGAATTCAGTCAGGCACACAAGTTCAACACTAAACAGTTCTGTGAAACAAGAAGTAGTCTATTATTTGACAATTTATCTCAGACAAAAAAGTTTGAATAGAGAGGAAGATGGAAAGACTAATTCATTCCTTGAGCACCAAGGCTCCGTTTGTTTTCGATGGAAAACCTTTTTTTTTTTTGGAAAATATGTTTTCAAGGAAAACCATTTTCAATGGAATACGTTTTTGTAGAAAACATTTTCCATTCTTTGTTTGATTATGGAAAAATTTAAAGAGAAAAAAGAAATGGGAGTTAAAAGAAGAGGAACGATGGAAAGATAAAGCAAGGGGAGTAAAAAAATAGATTAGACTAGAAAATGTGGCTTTTTTTTTGCTTTTTAAAGGAAAATTGTTTTCCTTTTTCGGAGAGCGATTTTTCACCTTTAGAAAATGGCTCTCCTTCCTTTGCCAAAACAAACAAAGGAAAATGGAAAGGTGATTGGAAAGTTATTATCTAGGAAAATGTTTTCCTCCAAAACAAATGGAGCACAAGTTATATAACAAAAAGTACAACCTCTTGTTTATGTACAGGGCTATATATGTGTGTGTATGGTGAGGAGCGGTAAGTTAGAATCATGTAGAAAACTAACATACACATTCTTTAAAAGCATATATAATTATATAAAGCTCTTACAAGATGTATATTATACATGATGACTAGAATAACAAGCTCTCACTAGATGTATAACAAATAAGACTCTTTTTGCATTAGTTACAAACTAAGTGCCTATACTATACTGTTAGTTCATCCATTTACTGAGTATAGAACTAGTAAGACATGGAAAACTCAAAAGTAGTCCATATAAGGAAAAATAAAGTACATGTTCTCGGGATAGTTATAGTAATTTGATAAACATTAGAAGCAACAAAAACAATTAGATGCTTTTTCAAAAACTTTGTAATTATTTTGGTTGTGTAAAAACTCCATTCACCTTTTTTTATTCATTTCATAATCCCTCCATCTAATTGATTTTGCAAAATAGAAAAATAAATCTCATACAATTTGCATGGGACAAAGGTAGTAATACTCTGCACTCTCTTTTTCCCATCTCCTTTCTATTTCTCATAGTGTCCAAAAGATCTTTGACAAACAACCGAGTTATCACTATCAAACATAACACTGACATATTCCTTTTTATAGAAAACCAAATCTCATACAACTAATAAAACACTTTAAACTATAGGGAAAATGGATTTTAATCCAACCTTATCTTAATAATTCATAAATCCAACTTATAACACCCATATTCCCATCTTGGTCTTTTACCCTTTTTTTACCTGTTATAGTAGGTAAGTAACCGGTTTTCGTTGACTTAATGCAATTTGACCATCACCCCACATGAAACCCACCATTGGAAACTAATTAAAAACCTCAAGAACTAATGTCACACTAAATTAGGACAGCCACTATTCACTAATCAACTAAAACCACACCACACCCCCTCCCCCAAAAAAAAACCCCAAGCACTGCAGCCATCCTTAAACCACGGCAACCAGCAACCACTTAAACCACACCACCCACCTAAAACCGTTATCATCATAAACCATCTCAGCCACCACCTCACTAAAACCACACTACTTGCCTAAAACCCCAACCACCGTAAACCACCGCAACCAACAACATTAAAACCCCCACTCATCTAAAACCCCAAGCCCAACCACCACCGCTGACCCATCCAAAATATCGACAATGACTGTCACATAACCACCCACCTACATTTTCACCACCATTGCCACTAACCACAACCTCTTCACCATCACCTGAATTGAATGTGTCAAAAACCAATCAATTAAAAAAAAAAAAAAAAAAAAAAACTAAACATCAAAGTTATCAATTGGAGAAAACTACTTGGATAATTTTCTCGCTTCTAATAATCGACTCACAACCTTTAGACCACTTAACATTTCTTAAATGGTATCAATCGCTCCTTAGCATATATGGGAGGTTTCTTAGCAAACTCGACAAATTTCATGCAACTAATGACATATTGGGGTAGTGCAATCCAAATTTGATTCATCCATCATATAGACAAACCAAACGGACAGTGGCGGACCTAGAAATTTGACAGTGGGGGGACAATTTCGATAATTCAACTACATCAACCTATTTTTTTAAAAAAACGGGTACACAACGCATATAATTCGGATACATACTTGTTTAATACGAGTACTAAAAATACGAGTACTAAAAAGTTACAATCTCAAAATCCATTGAATAATACAATTTGGTTACATACTACTAAAATATCCTCCGAGTCTTCATTCTTTGAAATCAATCAATGATATCTTCATCGGGGACTTGTAAAATTAAAACACTTCTTTCTCTATTAAAGCAACCAAACAATCATTCATAAGTTGATTACCCATACTACTTATCAATTTATTTTTGACATATCCTAATTCATTTTTAAAAAGCCTCAATATTCAATAATCATCTTTTTAACAATAAGCATCCAAAATCTAAAAAACCAAATCACTAACTAATTCAATACACAAAGTCACAAACTAATTTACATACTTGTATTAATTAAATTCACAAACTACTTGTCTACTTTCAAAGTTTAAATCTTCCATTCACCATATTCACCAAATAATTCACAAATTTACAATTCAATTCACAAACTAATAACAAATAAACTAAATCACAAATAAATTCAAAAACATGATTTAAAAAACACAATTACTCATAAACTAATTCTTTAATTTTTATAATCTAACATAAAAATTAGGAAATAATAAATAAATAAAAAAAGAAAAAAAAAACTGGCATACGTGGGCTGGGTTGACGGGTAGTGGCGGTGTTGCGGTGAGAAGTCCAGCAACGGGTGGTCGGTGGTCCGGTGGTGCCGTTGGCTGCTTCCGTTCTACTATCTCTCTCTCTTAGGTTTCTGATTTTAACACTTTTCTCTTTCCTCCCTTTTTTTCTCCTTAACTTTCTCTTTCCTTCTTTTCTTCACCCACGCTTTGGGGCTTTGCTGGTTTCTAGATTTTTTTTTTCTTTTTCTTTTTCTTTTTTTCTCTGATTTTTTTTTTGAAAGTGGGGGACAATGGTCCTTGTCCTCACGTGGGTCCGCCCATGCAAACGGAGTACATTATATCTAGTAAAATATAAATCTAAATCATTCAATTTATTCTTGATGTAATTAACTTCATTCCTAAAAGTCATTAACAAGTGTATTTATTTCAAAAAAAAAAGTGTGCTATCTAGGAGAATAAAAGTAATTTCTCTAATATAAGTATATAACATGAAAGTAACGCCTTAAGATGAGAATTTTTAACTTCATATCAAATCAATCAAAGCCTAAGTCCATAAGTGGAGTCGACTATATGAACCAAAAGTGATTATTCCAGATAGTGACTTGCATCAAAAGTGATTATTCCAGTGACTATACACAAAGATCTATTAACTTCCTATCTGGCTATCTCCTACATAAGACTAGGATGTACCGCAAACCACAATCATACACAAGACTACTAACTTCACGTTATAAAAATCTGCACTCAAAAGGGAATGTTGTAAAAGGTATACAAAAAATATCTTAATGGAGAGTGATTATGTTTCTGCATTTTTCACAAGTGATAGTGACTTGCATAAAAAATACAAGGGATAGTGACTTGTTTACCATAGTGCCAAGACATATTTAAAATTGTTAAACATAATCTGAGGTACTATAATTAGAACATATTTGACATTAACTAAGCATTAATTACACCTAACAATGTGTAAATTTGTTATGAATTTCTAAATTTATACTATAGTTGGCAATATATTTAGCTACACACTCCGTATAACACAAGAACATCACCCTTAAAAATTAAATACTTCACCAAATAAAATTTTAAAAGGTTTAGTTATAATAAATAAAAATAAAATAAAAACTGAAGCACCTAAAGCCTTTCAGACAAGTGAAGACAATGAAATTCAACTAGATTTCTCATCAATTTCAGAAATTCAGCTAAATTAAAAAAAAACCCAAAAAAAAACATCAAAAACCCAATTCAGATTACTCTCCAAACAATTCAAATATCAAAGATTAACAATGAAAATCTGACATACCCACAATGGAATAAAGAAAAAGTAGACAAAATAAAGAAAACCCCAAGAAAAAACTGGAGGAATATTCGGTTTTAGTTATCCATTTATATGAAGTTCCCCCAAAAAAACCCATTACGCTAAAAAACAATAACGTAAAATTCAATTAAGAATCTCAAAAACGAAAATTTGTTGTATACCTTAAACAGAAATTCGACCAATCAGCTCAAAGGAAGGGACATGCAAGATAAAAATAGGACCGCCTGAGTGCCGCTATCAGCCACCACCGTCGTCTGCGTGCCGCTATCAACCACCACTGCCTGAGTGTCGCCTTAGTCTATTTCCTCAGATTTCTTTGCTTATTTTCCTTTTAGAATTTTTGAGTAATTTTTTTAGTAATTTTCCTCTCAGAATTTGGTGGGAGTGTAGAATCAAAAATGGAGAATTAGGGAAAAATGGAGAATTGGGGAAAACGTGAGAATGTGAGAAATTGGGTGCTCAGAATTGTGAGAAAATGTTAGTACATAATTCTACTTTTTCATTTTTCTTTTCCTTTTTCTTTATTTTAAGCCTTAGGATAGTAACACGCGTAAGGGTTCAAATTCTTTAAAATATTTGGGCAAACAAATAGGGGGGGAGTCCTGAAATTTTCCGAGAGCTTTTAAATTATTCATTATACAATTATCACATACTGTTGCATCAGCTCCCTTTTTTGTTGAAATAGCTAGGCTATTGCAATGGTTCTTTAGAACCGTGGCATTAGCTCTACCTTTAAGAACACTAGAGTGTACCCGTGAAAAATGCACGAGATATATATTTTATAGAAAGATATTACAAAGATCTAATAACAAAAATATATTTTAAATACGTTAAGTTGTTTGTGACATAGTAACTTACTCTTTTATGTGGGTTGGATACTCCGTGTAGCTAGCATAGAAGTTACTTTGCCAATGTTATAAGTGTTACTTTGTCAATGTTATAGGGTTACTCGTTCAGTGTTATCCGCTAGTGTTATAAGGGTTATACGTTTAGTGTTATAAGGGGTTACTTCGTCAATATTATAGGAGTTACTCCAGTCACACTACTTGTCGAAAAAAAAACGTGTTGTTGCATAAAAAACATTATGTATATATTTTTTGTTTCGATGATTATTGAATTAATAATAAGGATAACTGATTTTTATAAATATAAATAAATAACTGGAAGAATCTTAAAAAAGGAAAATAGTGGAACTTATAGTAACGATATTAAAAAAAAAAAGTGCACACGATTTTGGAAAAAAAATGTGCATATTGTAATATTGTTGTTTTTAAAGAGAAATTGGGTAGTATAATAAAATACTATGTAGGTAGGTTTTTTTGGGTTGTGTGTGTTATTAGGAAAAATAATAGTGGAAGTTTTGTTTAGAGGGTTTTTTAATTTTTTATTTTTTAAAAAAAAGGATAGGTGGAAGTTATTTGGAGGGCAAAATAATTAAATAAATATAGAGAAAAAAAAAAAAGAGGAGTGAATGAGAATTGAGAGATTGGGTTTTGGAGTGATGTGGTGAGAAGTTGAGAAAACATCTCTTAAATTATATAAAAGATAAGTGTTAAATCTGTGGCATTAACCTACTCTATTGCAACGGAAATTAAAATACTGTTGTATTAGCCTATAATAGGCCGTTACATTTTATTTCAAAAAAAATAAAAATAGGCCGTTACATTTGGTAAAAAATGTAGTAGTGTCCTTAAACCTAGGCGTGAAAAGTATAACTAACTGAGGGTTGGACCAAGGTTTGGACCAAATCAACTCTACTTTTTATTTAATTTAATTTACATTTGATTTATATTTTTAATGAAATTACTAACAATTTATTCATGATGTAGCAATTTAAAGGAGCGCGCGAAATGTGAGTAATTAATTAATTAATTTAATTACTTATTTTATTTTTATATTGCTAGTTTAGGTTTATTATGATTTTATTTGACTAACAATTTATTATTAAATTTCTTACAATATTAATGTTTATTCTATTATATTTTTTATGATCACCATATTGCTAATGTGTGGTTGGTGCACCTGCGTGCACCATCCGCATGGTGCACCCAGACAGAACATTAGGTATATTTAAAAGAGCATGGGGAAAAAAAGAACATTATAGATATTTATAATGAACGCATGCATAATATGTTCTTTAAGTTTGATTACACTACGTGAAAAAATGAATTTGGCACCGGTTCAAACCAGGCCTAAGGCACCGGTTTGAACCGGTGCCAATGTGGGGGGTGCCAAAAAGGGGTTTAACAAGGCACCGTTTCAAACCGGTGCCAAAAAGTACCAACAAAATTTAATTCACCACTTTTGGCACCGGTTATCCGGTGCCAAAAAAATTAAATTTGTTTTCTTAAAAATTAAATAAACTAAAATTAAATGAGAATACAAAATATAAATCGAACATCACAACATATAAATCAAATCTGTTCATTATATATATAATCAAAAAAAATTTACAGTATAGATCAATAAAAAAAATTACAACATATAAATCAAAATAAAAAAATTACAACATATGACTAAAAAAAATACAATATAAATCAAAATAAAAATTTACAACTTTAAAATAAAAAAAAACCCATAAAACATCTAAATCAATATACTAGCATCTTGATTCTTCAATTTAAGATCTAAGTACCTGCACCAACTAAAACAACCAAAATAAATTGATTAAAATGATTTAATTAAGCTGCGAAAAAAATTAAAAAAAATCCAGAAAATCGAAAAAAATAAAAAAGAAAATCAGTTGAAAAGAAAAAAAAAAAAAACACCAGAACATCAGTTAAAAAGAAAATCGAAAAATAAAAATATAAAAAAAACCCAGAAAAAAAATCGAATAAAATAAAAATCAAAATCGAAAATCATAAAAAAAACCCAGAAAATAAATAAAATTAAATTAAATTAATAAAAAAAACCCTGAAAATAAATATAAAAAAATTAAAATCCAGAAAATAAATTAAAAAACACAGTATTCGAAAAAACCCAGAAAATAAAAAAATTTAAAATCGAAAAAAAAAAATTGAAATCTGAAAAAAAAAACCCCAGAGATCGAAAAACAAAAATGAAATCAAAAATAAAATAAACCTAGAGATCCAAAATCAAAAATGAAAATCGAAAAAAAAAACCCAATTAGAAGAGAATTGAAATGGGAAAAAAAAACCCAGGAAAAAAACCTAAAAATCACGAAAATAAAAACCCCAAAACCGCATGCATTAACCCAAAATAATCAATTATTTTAACAGAAAATTAACCCAAAAATCGAAATTGAAATCGAAAAACAAAATCAAAATCGAAAAAAACACCATAAAAAAAGAAATCGAAAAAAAACCAGAAATAGGAAAAAAAAATAGAAAAAAGAAACCCATAAATCGAAATTAAAAAAATCAAAATCGAAAAAAAAAACTATTAAATTCGAATTATAAAAAACAAGAAATCGGAATAAACAATCAAAATCGAAATAATTGAAAATAAAAAAATTGAAATCGAAAAACCCAGAAATCGATTGAAATGGTAAAAAAAACCAAGAAATCGATTGAAAACCCTCAAAATTAGTGTTGCATGTTGTTGTCTTCGAATTGTTGGTGGTTTTCGAGTGATGATAGAAAGGAGGAAGAGATCCAGAAAGATAAAGAATGAAGGATTGAAGGAGATCGGCGAAAGAGAAGGAGATGAGAGAGAAAGAGGAGGAGGAGGAGGAGAAAGAAAGAGGAGAGGAGAGGAGAGAGAAACGGCCGAGAATGAATTAGGGTTGGGGGGTAGTTATAAGGGCGGTTTTTTTTTAATATTTAAATGAACCGGTTTGTAAAGG